ACACGCACACACACACACATCGTTCACTGTCCAGTACAAAACTATTCAATACTGAAGGAGAAAGATTTAGTCTTTGGCCAAGTGTGTGTGTGTTTTCATGTTAAGATTCTTAGAGTGACTTAAGAGTGATTAAACTCTTCAATTGTATTTTACACACGCACACGCACGCGCACACACACACACACACTTTTATTATTAATTATATATATATGTGTATATATATATATATATATATATATATATATATTCATTCAGGTTTTTAATTCACTTTTTATTTCTTAGTAATTGTGTTCTGCTTTTGTAATTTTTATTACTTTTTAAAGAATATTACTGTATCATAGTATACTCTATTTTAGTTTAAGTTCAGTCTTAGATTTTATTAGTTTCCAAATACTAATTAATGTTTCACTTAGTTGCCAAGGCATCATTTCTAATTTGCTTTTAAAGTGTTTAAATAATGGATAAAAGAACCCATTATTTTATTTTGACATATTTTAACATTTTATTTCATTTTAACATATTTAATTTTATTTCAATTAACAATTCTAAATACTTATAGTTAAGTTTCATTTAGGTTAAGTTTTTCATCTAATATTAATATTAATATTTTATTTATTGTATTTCTGTGTCATTTAGCAAAATTATTTTGAATAGTATTAGTTCAGTTTCATTAGTATTCATGTTTAATTTATATTTATATATTTTACATTTTTTATAGTTCTCATTTTATGTAACAAATACTTCATAACAGAAGTAAACTGTATTTGTCACAAAGCAACACAGCGTTTGTGTGTGTGTTCAGTGTTTCAGGCGTCTTGTCTCCGTGTTTAAGGGTCTGTTCTGCGGCTCCGTCTCGTTTGATGTGAAATCAGAGAGCTTTGATTGTAAGATTAGACGTTACACACCTTTATGAGACTTCAAACGGATGGAGGAAAGCCAACAAAAGCAGCAGTGTCTCTCTCTCCTCTCTCCACGAGTGAAAAAGCTCTCAGAAGCGTCTGGTCAGTAATCAGACTTCAGGACCTTCAGCTTCTCCACACAAACTTCAGGTCGAGGCCAGAGACCAGAGAAAGAGAGAGATGCACACAGACAGGGTGTAAATTGGTTTTCTCCAGCTGAATGGCTCTGGCTGTGAAGCAGCAGTGCATGATGGGATACCATCAGCGTTTCTTTGTAAAGCCTTTTAAAGTGGAACAGATCAAACTTTGCCTCTTTTACTGATTCTTTCTCACGGATGTTCTTTAAGTCCCTGGCCTGCAGAAATGCTAACAACAGAGTCAAATACTGGTGAACTGCGCATTTCTACACTCATTTCTACACTCATTTCTGCATAAAAATAGCAACAAAAAACACTCCATCGCTGCGTTTCAGGTCACATTCGTTTATTTCAGTGAGCTGATTCGAATAGATTCACTGATTCCACAACGTGATCTCATGATAATTCGTATGTATTTTACGTAAAATGTGGTTCTATAAAACGTACATTTACTTACGTTTTTACAGGCACTAATGAACGTATTTTGATCATGTAAACGTACAAAACTGACGTATTGACGACACCTAAATATGAATCCCTATGAATATTGAAATCGCGGCCTTAATTTTATTATTAGTTGTTTGTAGTTTTCATATCAATTACCTTGTTTTCAATTGCATTATTAAATTGTTTACTCGTTTACTTAATATGAAATTATAACATTTCGTTCTGTTCTGTGTGATTTCTGCTGCCAGCTCGTTTCCAAGAATAGGCCTACATAATATTAAACAAGACTTCACTTTAGACCCTTAAAATAAATAACATTTCTGCAATCGTTTAACCTTTACGCACTGGTACTGCTTTTGACATTTTTGCAATAAATTAACGATTGTAATTGCATTTAACTGTCTGTCATGTTTTTCTTATACTGTACAGAAATAGTTATGTTTAGGTTTAGAGGTAGGACTGGGATTAGCGACTATAAAAATATTATATTGTTACAAAAATGGTTATTTTCCTGCATATTTCGTTCAATTGCGTTTTATATCCTATATATGTATAGTTTTGTGTGTAAATGTCTTAATGTTTGATTGTGTTTGATTTGATTGTGGCTGGTTCATTTGTTGCACTGGAAATGAAAGATCAAGTTGAGAGTGTTGCATTGTGGGATAGGGTGTGATATGTTTTGTATGTAGATCACACAGAAATGCTGTAGATGCTGCAGAAGAGCAGAAGTGAGTGTGAGAGTGCGGCGTATCCAGGCTGCTTGTGTGATTTTTGTGTTTATTTAACGTGGTAACTCATGCTGGGCTATTGTGTGATTAAATGTTCATTCATTTAGATGAATAAAGTCAGATTTCACGGCTGATGCGCGGCTCTGTTTACTGGTGTGAAGTGTTTTCTCAGAGTTTGTTCATGTCTGTGTTTCAGAGACGCGGTGAAGCAGCAGAAGAGACTGCAGTGCTCCGGCCTGCCATCAGCAGAACTCCATCAGAAACAGAGCGGCTCGCTGAGCACACCACTGCCGGCCCACAAACGAGGTGTGTGTGTGTGTGTGTGTGTGTGTGAGTGTGTGTGTGTGTGAGTGAGTGAGTGTACTGGTTTATATATCCTGGTGGGGACTTAAACCTGAATACACACAGACTCATGGGGACTCGTGTCACGGT